CCTGGGAGTGTGTTTGTTTTATCCAACAGACATGCTGGAGAACGTGTCGGATTCCTTTTTTCTGCCTCTCTTTTTACCTTCCATCATTCAAGCTTCCTAAAGAGGAATCCCAAAATTGTTTTGATTTACTGTCAAGAATGACGTTCAATATTGTTAGTTAATGACGCGGACTTTTCACTCGAAAGTGTTTGGTGTTCTGCGTGGCTTTCCTTGAAAACAAAAATTGTTTTTCTTGTCATCAGAGCGCATCTCCCACTGTGTGTTTCGTCCTGTAACACGATGCTGATGAACAGAAAGATATGCCCACCTGAAGCCTCGCATATCAGTTTTGCGATCATACGCCTGTACCCCCCGCCAACATTTATAACTTCTTCTGTGCTGATCGGCCACTTGATATCAACTCTTTTGGGAGCGCTTATTCCTAAAATGCTTTCGCGTCTCGCAATGACATCATATTTCATGTTTATATGCATGCACAGGGAATATTTTGCATTTGCGTTTATGTATGATCAAAGATCGTGATTATGTACGATCTTAGGTATAATGCATGTAGTCGATTACGGTGAATATTCTATAGTCTAAAAATATCAATCTCATACAAAGGTCGTGTATGACAAGATAATTCACTTCTCTCTTTGAGCCAATCATATAAGTGTCCTAAAAATTCGATCGCACCCTCTTCGAAAAAGTGCGGACTTTTGCGAACAGTTACCCTACTTGTGTGAAAAACATTAGAAGTGAAACTAACACACTGTACTATCCCTATTCTTCTTCTGGAGAAACTAAAGAAGACTTCCGCTGACACTTTTTTTGGCTGAGTGTACTATCTCGTTATGTACGATCTTTGCTGGCATTAAGAAACGATGGCATTTGTTGTAATGTCCTTGCGTAGAACAGAAATTAAACAAAGTGTATTATCTACGACACATAACATTCAAAAAGATAATAAATGTATACGTAACTAAGGTTTTTTTTCCCCTAACCTCAAGGTCAAAGAAAAAGAGTCCTTGCAGTCCAGACTTCTGGCTGTCCCTACTTTCAGCACTTCAACAAAAGAAAACTGTTGCCAAAATCAATAGCACGTCATTAGGAATCTTTTGAGAAGTCTTTTTTTAAATTGAGAAGTGTACATGACGTGGCATAAAGTATCTACATCTCTCCCTATCTCTCTATCTCTATCTCTCTCACTCTCTCTCTCTCTCTCTCTTTTTCACACACACACACACACACACACACACACACACACACACACACACACACACACACACACACACACACATACATTAATCTCTCTCTTTCTCTCCTCTCTCTCTCTCCCTCCCTCTCTCTCTCCCTCCCTCTCTCTCTCTCTCTCTCTCTCTCTCTCTCTCTCTCTCTCTCTCTCTCTCTCTCCCTCATCTCTTTCGCTTTCTTTTTCTCCATCTCTCTTACCCCCTCCTCTCTCTCTCTCTCTCGTTTTTCTTGCATCCCTGTTAGATAACTATAAGTGTGTGCATATGCGGATATAAGTGTTGGTGTGCGCACACGCACGCGCGCACGCACAGACGTGTGTGTGTGTGTGTGTGTGTGTGTGTGTGTGTGTGTGTGTGAGAGAGAGAGAGAGAGAGAGAGAGAGAGAGAGAGAGAGAGAGGGGGGGGGGGAGAGAAAGAGAGAGAGAGAGAGAGAGAGAGAGAGAGAGTGAGAGAGAGAGAGAGAGAGAGGGCGTTCGTGTGTTGGGAGATGGAAGGTTGTCACCTCATAGCCTACCCCCTTCCTCTCGCTCCATCTACTCGACTCCTCTTTTTCCAGCATTTCCCACACATACACACACACAAACACACACACACACACACACACACACACACACACACACACACACACACACACACATTCCTGTTCTCTTTGTTATACGCGTGCTTTTTTTCCTCAAGTATGCTCACGACTATACAGGTATGTACCCAACGCAGAGAGATTTATTCCCCTTCTGTTGACGATTCTTTCACTTGCACCCACGACAAAAACGCGCATGTTTTCAACGTTTGTTCTTTGTGTTTTTGCTTTGGCGTAAATCACACTCGTGGCCTAGAGGTTAAGGTGTTCGCCTCTCATTCAAAGGTCCCGAGTTTGAATCCGAGTAGCGACCGAAACATTTTGTTCTCTATAAATTATCTCCTTTCACCTCTTTTCCTGCTCTCTAGCAATGTTCTGTCGTCTGCTTTCGTCTCCTCTTTCTGCCCCAACCCCCCTCACCTCCTTCGCCCCCTCCTCTGGGCTCCTGACTCTTTCTGCAGCCTTTCTACTGCTACTCCTTGGCTCCTTCTTACTGCTGTCTTTCAGCCACACCCCTGATTTTCTGGTAGGAAAGATCTACACCTAGCCTTCTCAGAGAGGGCTAAAAATCTCGGAGGGCCCGTGTGCCAGTTGCGTACACTAAGAATCCCTTAACGGTCTAAAATCGATAAGAGTAGGCTTCGGCCGCCACCCGGGCAAAATTCAAAATTTCCTACCTACTGAAAATGTTTAATGTCCCATGCACTCATATGACCTTTTGCAGTTGCGAGCGCCGTAAAACACTTACCAAAAATTTATTTAAAAAAAAAATAAAATAAAAAAACCCAAAAAAAACCCCAATCAAACAGGCAAACCAAAATTATAATGTGTCTCAACACGGTAGAATCCATCACTCGTCAATATTAGGGAATACTGAGTTACCAGTATCAGCTTAAAGCATGCTTATTTGTTTCGCTTTTGGTGAAAGAAATACCCTTTACTCTGAATATAAGTCGAGATGATTCCGACTGAAAGTTGCAGGTGTCGTATGTGGTCCGAGGTAAAGTTAGCGAGGAAATGGCTGCCAGTTTTTGGTGACTTAAAGTTTGGAAGTAAATGGAAGTTACAAATTTCCATTTTGTTATCATTTCATCAACGCGGTGTTATGTTTGTTGGGGG